CGATGAAATATTATTTATTTAATTTATTTCCCAGACCGATATATACGAAATTAATGCGACAATACCTCCATAAATTTCTACGTTGCGAAAAGATATCAAAAGACGTACTTCATAGATTTAATAAAGAAATTTATCTCGAGTATGCAAACTTATGTGTAATAACTTCGTATAGCATACATTATACGAAGTTATACGACATGTGGGAGTGTGTAAATTAAATTTGAAAAGTTCACACCAAATCCAATTTCACGCGATGATATAACTTTTCCTCCCTAGTTGAAAGTATCTAATTAATTGACTGAGAGTTTAAACGTTTAATATCACATAGTTAAGCAGCAAAACGAAATAGAGAGCACGGACCAATTGGAGGGTGACGAGGAAGGAATCCAACAGGAATCCGTTTGGAAGAAGAAGAAACGGGACTTGGAGAGGTAATCGCGATTTCGTAAATCGCTTAAAAAATCGATCGGTCTTAGAATCGTTCAAAATTTACCGTTTTAAGAAACAAATAGTCTCTCGCGATGGTCATGGTCGCGGATATTTCGACGAGTTCTCAATGATAGACTTCAGAAAGCTCTTTCATCGAAGCACCGTTGCGCGTATCAAGGAAATGTCGGTAGAGATCAAAGCGTCATTTATTTGACAAGATTATTCGGAGATTCGCGAAGCGTTTGTGTATACGAGCGAGTGTGAAGTTTGAATTACGCGACGTATTGTAACGGCGGAATATTCGCAGAGTGAACAGGCGAATGCGAAGAGCCTGCAGAAAGGCTGTGAAGTCCCAGGTCTTCTATTGGCTCATCATAGTTCTGGTCTTCTTGAATACCGGTGTTCTCGCCACGGAGCACTACAATCAGCCGCATTGGTTGGACCGCTTTCAAGGTAAATATCGTCTCCCCCTTATTCCGCGGAAATAATACCGACTTGTTGTTCGCCTTTAATTATAAATCCGTCCCTTTAGCGATGCGTTTCGTAACGCGTGTTTCTTTCTTTTGTCACCAGAGATCACGAACATGTTTTTCATCGTACTGTTCTCCATGGAGATGATGTTAAAAATGTACAGTTTAGGGTTTCAGGTGAGCGATATATACACATTCCTTTTGGTGTTGGAATATCGGTGAAATCAATAAACATCGATATGACATTATTGAATTAATTGATATTCATACACATTATTTATAATTTCATGTTCATGATATATGTTTTTATTGATAAGAATAAATGTGAATATTTTGTTAAGGATATATTATATTTATTTTTATTTAAAATGAAAAAAATGAAAGAATTATAGATTATTTTAAACCGCATTTAAAAAAAATACAAACAATTTGTGACAGTTTAAAACTTGGATCAAAAATTATTTAAATATAAAATAGAAATATAATTAAGAAGTAATGGCAAAATCTCAATTTTTTTTATATGAGTATTTTTAGTATTCCAGGTGATTAATGTAAAATTTCATTGCGATACAGAGATTAGTTTTTTTTAGTTTATTTTACAAATAAAAATTTAATTTTATTTGTACCACCACTCAGTTCATTTGTACCCTTAATAAAAATTTAATTTTTATTTATAGAATAACTAACTCTCGCAATGAAACTTTAATAAATAATTTTGAATATTTAAACTATTTATATAAAAAAAAATTGAGATTTTTTTAAAAATTATTTCTTAATTACATTTTCATTATAAAGCACACTTATACTTATTTATTTAAATAATTTTCGATACAGATTTTAAACTTTTTGTATTATTTTTAAGTGTGATTTAAAATAATCTGTAGGTTCTTCATAATCTTTTCATTGTAAATATAAAAATTAGAATAAATGTAATATATAAGTTGAGTAAAAGAACACATAAACACACCTGATAACACATGATAACCACATAACACTCTGTCTTAAGTATCTTTTAATTCTGAGGCCTCTTTAATTTTTACTTCGCAGGGTTATTTTGTCTCGTTGTTCAATCGTTTCGATTGCTTCGTCGTGATCGGCTCGATCACCGAAATGATACTTACACATTCACGTGTGATGCCGCCTCTTGGCGTTTCCGTACTCCGTTGCGTCCGGCTGCTCAGGGTATTCAAAGTAACAAAGTAAGTAGAGAACCAAATCTCTTTGAGACGTAATTTGCAAGATTGAGTCATCAGTATTCATCACGTAACAGTGGACACAATATTTAAAAAAAAAAAAAAAAGAAAAGAAAAGAAAACAGCAAAATAAAATTTCATATTCGAGAGGAAATGCGCGATAAAAAAAATGTGCGAGTCGTGTTTATCCTTTTACTTGCAGATATTGGAGATCACTGTCGAATTTAGTGGCCTCTTTACTGAACTCGATACAATCGATCGCCTCACTGTTGCTCCTGCTTTTCCTTTTCATTGTGATCTTCGCTCTTCTGGGCATGCAGGTAGATTTTAGCGCGAAGCACATTCGTAACGACGTAACGAACGTCCTTCGATTTATTCTTCGATATCTATCCTTTAAATAGGTCTTCGGTGGAAAGTTCAATTTCAGTGACAGTGAGGAGAAGACACGTCACAATTTTGACAGTTTCTGGCAGAGCTTGCTCACCGTGTTTCAGGTACGTAATCGTCGTCGACGAGGAGGACCTCGAACGCGAGTCTATAAAATCGCGTTCGCGAAATTGCGCCCTTCTGATTTATTACAGATACTTTGACTTCACCCCTTTATTTCTGCGTCCCTATTTTTTTCGCTCTAAAAATAATTAAACACGCTCGGCTTCTGCATCCCCAGATATTAACCGGCGAGGACTGGAACGCTGTGATGTACGTCGGGATTCGAGCTTACGGCGGCGTCGCCAGCATCGGCGTTCTCGCCTGCGTTTATTTCATTATCCTCTTCATATGCGGCAATTGTATCCTTTATCGAAAAGACGACGAAACAACCCTTCCCCCGTCCCCTACCCCTCTCGCATTAAGTCTCGCGAGCGTCTCAACTCGCTCAGTGTAATATCGATTCGGTCTGATTTAATAAATTTTAATCGATCCTTGACGAAGATAGCAACGCAGATATCCTCTTGAACGTGTTCTTGGCTATCGCCGTTGACAATCTCGCTGATGCGGAGTCCCTGACTGCCATCGAAAAGGAGGCCGAGGAGGAGGTGAGTTTTGATCGTACATACGATAACATACATAGACACATAATGTAGTAGATTGCCGATAATTTTGTGAGCGCCAGACATAATAAAAATTTGATATCTATACAATGCTTCGTTAGATTCGCCTTACTCGCTTGCCAAAATGTTAAGAAAATTATTTTTTCTCCATTTTTCGAGACAGATAAGAGACGAAAGATAATTTTCTCATTGACAAAAACATATTCTTAAAATGTAAATTATATTTTTTCAGAGACGTTTAATAACTCCCGCTGCTATTTGTAATAACAACGTATCGGAATGTTCTTTATATAGCAGCTTGTTTTTTTTTCTTTCCAGTGACATACTTTCCGCTTCTTCCATTAAATTAATGAAAAAAACATAATCGCGCTGTCTCTCGATGTAAGAAGGATCTTGATATCAAAGACCGTGGAAAGCGATGAATTCGAGTGCGCATCGCCTTACTGCAAAATCGCGTAGCTCTCTCTCGTCAGCGAGTCGTTTCTCGCGGGATTTCCATAGACGATCAGGCTAATTCGATCTTTCGAGAGAAGTGCGTCTTTATGTGCAAGACATTTGCGAGAAATGAATATCGCGATATACGTATTGCGGACAATGTGAGCCCGCTCGAATGAACCTGAAGGCCGATGTCGACAGGACGGCGCTTATCCTCGAGTGAGAGTAAATGAACGTCGCGCGTTTAACGCTCGCGCGATATAAAGGGCGATAAAAAGGGCCGCTCCGATTTTCTTTCTCTTCGACAAGACTCCACCGCGCGAGAGTGATCGTCCCGATAATAATATATAATAATATTGAATCTCAGCCGAGAGAGGGACATAGTTCTTTTGTAACGAGAGACACCCTAATAATGTCCAGAGTCAAGTATATAGAATCCTATTTACCTTTAACGACCGACAACTTCATCAATCTCGAGCTCTAATTTTATCCCAAGGCCATAAAATTGACCTGAGCGAATTGTAGTGGACAAATTAGTACGAACGTTACACGGAGATATTCGAGAATTGTACGTGCAACATCGGGCTTCCCTCATCGAATGTGCAGCCGTTGCAATTCACGAAGTTACGCAACGCAAATTTTACTCGTAAGATAGTTTAAAACCGCAACAGCGAAGTTCGAAAGCTGATTAATCACACCGGTATATAACGACCAAATAACATTATGGAAAAACTGTTGATTGCATGGCGAAAATTATGGTCGCGTGCGTTTCAAGCGTGTATTTCTCAACGTACAGCCCGTTCCGTTCATAAATACATCTCACGCGTTATCTAATATGCACAGTTTTCGCACATATTTAACAGTTTTTTAATTATTATATATCAAATATTTTTTTGTAATTATCACAATTGTATAGAGGAACATATAATTTATATATAAACATTTACAGGCCGACAAAATTTTAACAGTAGAAATATACAAAACAGATTTATTTGGTCATGATAATAATTATCATAATAATTATTTTTTGAATTTATATATATATATAATTATTAGACATCAAGATTGAGGTCCTTGACCGAAAACTGCCGGACTGTATGTTTATAATGTTAAAATATATAATTTCTCTCGACATTTCCCTTTTTGGTGATAAAAATGGGGCTGATGTATAAAATTGAATATACAAAATTCGATTGTTTACCAATAGCCAATTTTATAAGCAATAAAAAATGTTTATAGCTTCATCATAACAGCAGCTGCACTTTCGAGTTACAATCGGATCATGCTAATAAAAAAGTTTATTGCTCCCCTCTCCTCTTTCTCTCGCTTACATCGAACTTTTTACTGCGAATATTAATATCGCGTTTGTCTTTCGATTTTACAAAACGTAGAAAGTGATATTAATGAAATGTTTCCTTGTAAACAATGAACAAATTTGGCCTTACAATGACGAAATGTAATTAACTCGCAAATTTGGCAAATGTGCTACGATATAATAATAAATCAAATATTTGTGTGTGTACTAATTTATGTTAACATTTGCGAATGCATGCATTAACAATGTAGGAAGAGCTTTGTACAATAACGATATTAATCGTCGGAAAACAATATGCGCTACCTAGAGAATGTAATTAGTCTGAGAAAGATAGTTTAATCAACATTATTTAACATAAATCCAAAACTAAATTTTGTATCCTTCGATAAATTTTTCAAGTCATAATTAAGATCAAATTAAAAATTTCATCAAATTAAAAATTTCATCAATTAGTTTAAATATATAGACTTGATTTTTAATACATTAGACAATATCCTGATATTATTATTACGAAATTATGTAATTCATAAATTATAATAGAATTTTAAGAATTTACGGACTTTAAGAATTTATAGAAAACATGTAAGAGAAAAATTTTTTTAATTTTACAGCTTTATATACATAAATTATTTTATTTCGTTAAATATTATTTCATTTCCTGAAATTTACTGCTGATTTATCGTCTTGCTACTAATTGTGCAATCGACTATTGTTTTTGATCAAATCGAATCACTTGGCAAATAACCACCCTTCTCTATTCTATGCAGGCGGAAAAGAATAAGTCTCGTAGCGGTTCACCGACAAGGGACGAAGTCAGCGGTGAAGCTGGCGACGATGGTGGCGAGGGGACCGGTGGGGAGGACGAGGGTGCCGGCACAGATCTCGAACACGACCCTAACGAAACAATGGAGGACTACGAGGCCGCACTCGATACCGAAACGTAAGCCTCTGTCATAACGCGACAGAAGTTGTAACGTAACTATATGCGTTATTACATTAACGAGATTGGAGATTATTACGTTACCATCATTCCTTATGCAACATTATTATCTGTAAAGCTTGAACCTCTGTTAAGCTGGAACCCCTACCACCGCCAATATACACACACACACACACACACACACACACACACACACCACACACACACACACACTGACGAC